AAGAAGCCTAAATAAGTGCCCCGAAAACGTAAAAGAGCAAGCGTATCTTGCTTTAGTTAGACCACAGCTTGAATATGGATGTTTCGCATAGGACCCGCACAGTCAAAAGCAGATAAAGGACACTGAGAGTATGCAGAGACGAGCGACACGTTTTCTTAAAAATGAATATAGCATCACTCCTGGAACTGTCACAAAAATTCTAACTGAGTGATTTAAGTTAATGATAAGTTCGACGTTTGTCTCAGTCTAGCTACTCTTACTATTAAAGTTTGCTGGATCGCCAAACAAGTTCTTCTAGTCCGCTAAAAATCGATTTTAGGGGACAAACATGCCAAGTGAACATGCCAATAAAGAGTTTGTATTATCTGGGCGCGGGGGGTACACCCCTATGTATCTATGTGCTGCCCCAAAGCGTTTTTCCGACGTTTTGGTCTGAAAACGGGTGTAGACTTTGCTCATTTTGGTCTGGAATCGGGTATGGTTTTCGAGGGCATTACGGGAGTGTACGAACGTATTTATTGTTTCAGTCCCAAATGAGTAAGAAAAAAAAGAAATATGCCAATTCGAATGGATTTTAAGAAATATTTTTTGTTACTGTTGTAGTCTAAGTAATGATGACATCATTTCTTAAAGGCCAGGTCTGAAAACAGGTGTGAACAATAACATTTTTTGGTCTGAAATAGGGTCAGGATTTGGAGAACCGAGCGGCACACCCCAATTTAAGAATTCCCAGAAATGCCCCCTCGGGTATCTGGGTTTCCGTAAAATGCTGTTTATTCATTAAAGATTAATATATTGAGCTGTTTGTCGGAACAAAGAGAATCGTCTGTTAAAAAAGGGTTACTGCAAAGCAGGCTTCCAACAACGACTTTAAAATGTTTCGCGCCCTTTCTTACTTTTCAACTTAGTTCGACTCTTACACCGTTGGTGACCCAGTAGTCGAACTCAACTGAAGTAAGATCGACCCAAATAGTAATTTGACTCGTCCCATAAAAACTCCCCCTCCCCCCGCCCGCCTAAATTGCAAACTCAAGGAGCCCGATTACTTAGTTTCCGAGCCAATATCCAGAGTAGACAACATATTCGGTCTTTCTCCTCCTTTAACTCGGTTAGGGTAGCTTTTTTAAAGTCTCTAAGACAAGTAGTTTGTGCTCTCTGTTCCCGTTGGGGGTCTGATAGTTTCCATCCAAATTTACATTTTTCTTTTCGGTCTCCGCGACTTTTTCGCGATTTGTTTCGCAACTTTTATTATTTATTTTGACCCACTTAATAAGGTCCGAAGCCTCTCCGCCCTATCCCTTCCTCCGAACCTAACCTAATAACAAGCCAACAAAAATGCTTTGCAAAATTCACTGACGAATTAAAAAAACAAAACAAAACAAACTACGACACAGTCCACAAAATAAAAAAAAA